AGCCATGAGGCCACCTGGCTGTCCCCCAACACCCCCAGCTCACGCCCCTCAGGCCTTCCGCAGCAGCTGGCTCTCTGCCCTGAGGTGCAGGCCAGCTTGTGCTGTCTGTCAGCTTACAGCCCCTCCCCAAAGGGCCCCCCCAACAGAGGCAGGCCCTCCCCACCCCCGAGTCCCTGCTCTCCCCTGAGGCTGGTTAACTTTCTGCCCAGCACTTGTTCGCTCTGCTCTTGTCACGTGTCTGGTGCCAGCCCTGAGGCCAACTCGGGGACAGCAGGTCCTGCCTGTTGGCTCACAGCTCTCCCCCTCAAACTGTCCTGGGCCACAGGCACCCAGTGGGGTGACAGCAGATGCTTCCTGGAGGAGGGGACACCAGGGCCAAGGCTGAGAGGCCAGGTGACTGGTGTGTGGTGGGCCTAGGGACATTATTTGTCCCCACCTCCCGTGACCTCAGGAAGGGCCACGTCACTTGCTTTGGCCAATGAAGCGTGAGAAGTGGTACATGTCTCTGCCAGGCCAGGCTCCACCACCACCCTCTCCCCCTCTGGCCCAGCGATGCCGGGGTGGGGCTGCTCCTCGGCCAGGGTCCCTGGGTAGACCCCGGGAAGCAAACCTGTGCAGTCTCAGTCGCTGGGGTCCGGCCCGCCTGTTACTGCAGCATACCCAGCCTGTGCTGACCGACACAGCGTCAGCTGAGGGACGCACAGGGGCCAATGCCGTGCAGGTGGACAAGGCCGGCGTGAGGTGGGGTGAGGAGAGGCTAAAGCTGAAGAGAAATAGAGTAGGGTGTGTGTATGTGTGTGTGTGATGTGCTTGTGAGAGAGTGCGTGTGTGTGTGTGTGTGTGGTGTGTCAGTATGTGTGAGTGGTGTGTGTGTGGCGTGTGATGTGCATGTTAGAGTGTGTGGTGTGTGAGTGATGTGTGTGTGAGTGGGGTGTGTGTGAGTGGTGTGTGTGTGAGTGGTGTGTGGAATGGTGTGTGTGTCAGTGGCATGAGTGGTGTGTGTGTGCGTGGTATGTGTGAGTGGTGTGAGTGGTGTGTGTGTGAGTGGTGTGTGTGTGAGTGGTGTGTGTGTGAGTGGTGTGTGAGTGGTGTGTGTGTGTAAGTGGTGTGTGTGTGAGTGGTGTGTGGAATGGTGTGTGTGTGAGTGGTGTGTGAGTGGTGTGTGTGTGGAATGGTGTGTGTGCGCGTGGTGTGTGTGGTGTGTCAGAATGCGTGAGTGATGTATGCGTGCTGTGTGTGGTGTGCATGTGACGGTGTGTGTATGTGAGCGTGGCGTGTGTGGTGCACATGTGAGAGTGTGTATGAGTGTGAATATGTGTGTACACACGTGTGCCCCGTGCTGGCTGCCCTAAAGAGACAGAGCCCGCGGGCACGTGCTCTCACGCACGCACTCTGCGAGCCCAGGAACAGCCGGCATGGCTGGTAAACAAACCTGTCTGAGGGAGAAAGAAATGTCTAGTGCCCTGGGAGACGGCCGTCTGAGCAGCAAGGGACGCACCCTGGCGCTGACCGTGTGGGTCTCTCTCACATGTGTGCGCATGCAGTGCACTGGGCTGGAGGGGCGGGCCAGGCCCAGCATCGATCCCCTGCAGGGTCCACCGCTGTGGTCCCATCTGACGCCCCCCAGGACGCCCTGAGCTGCCAAGGCCCCTCCCTGGGAGCAGCGGGCAGACGGGACGCCCTCCTCAGGGAGGCAGACAAGTGGCAAGAAGGCAGGCAGGCCCGGAAACCTCAGCAGTTCAGACGAGGGCTGGGGTGGGGCCCACGCCACAGACAGCGGGGTGGGGGTGGCATGGGAACAGCCAGACTCTGGGGCCCCAGGGCCAGGACCACAGTGGGGAGGGGCATCAAGAGGGCAGCTCTGACAGACAGCGGCACAGTCAGTGCCCCTGGGGGTATTGAGGCGGGCTGGCCGGGGAGACTTGGAGGGTCCTGTTCTCCCTGAGGGCCTGGGCTAGATGCTTCCGGACCTCTCCTCTGACAGGCGAGGGGAACTCCATCGGGTGGAATCACTGAGGCTTAAAGACAGCAGGTCTGCAGAGGCTGCGGGGAC